CAAGCCAAGATCGGAGCCTGGGCTGCTTGCCAACCCACGCGTGGAATTGCGCCATCTACTTTGCTTCGTTTGTGGGAGGGCCTCCACAAGGCAGTTTCTCGGGCAGCGGGGAAGTCCAGCCACACAAGCTGCAGCCAGGCAGTGCCTCCACAAGGCCGCCCCCAGGCAGCGGGGAGGTCCAGCCACACAAGTTCCAGCCGAGGGGCAAGGCAGCCTTGCAAGGAGTTATGGAAGTACAGCCTTCGAGGAAGTCCAAGCCAAGATCGAAGCCTGGGCTGCTTGGCAAGCCCACGCGTGGAATTGTGCCATCTACTTTGCTTCGTTTGTGGGAAGCCTCCACAGATCAGTTTCTTGGGCAGCGGGGAAGTCCAGCCACACAAGCTGCAGCCAGGCAGTGCCTCCACAAGGCCGCCCCAGGCAGCGGGGAGGTCCAGCCACACAAGTTCCAGCTGAGGGGCAAGGCAGCCTTGCAAGTTATGGAAGTACAGCCTTCGAGGAAGTCCAAGCCAAGATCGAAGCCTGGGCTGCTTGGCAAGCCCACGCGTGGAATTGTGCCATCTACTTTGCTTCGTTTGTGGGAAGCCTCCACAGATCAGTTTCTTGGGCAGCGGGGAAGTCCAGCCACACAAGCTGCAGCCAGGCAGTGCCTCCACAAGGCCGCCCCAGGCAGCGGGGAGGTCCAGCCACACAAGTTCCAGCTGAGGGGCAAGGCAGCCTTGCAAGTTATGGAAGTACAGCCTTCGAGGAAGTCCAAGCCAAGATCGAAGCCTGGGCTGCTTGGCAAGCCCACGCGTGGAACTGTGCCATCTACTTTGCTTCGTTTGTGGGAGGGCCTCCACAAGGCAGTTTCTCGGGCAGCGGGGAAGTCCAGCCACACAAGCTGCAGCCAGGCAGTGCCTCCACAAGGCCGCCCCCAGGCAGCGGGGAGGTCCAGCCACACAAGTTCCAGCCGAGGGGGGAGTTATGGAAGTACAGCCTTCGAGGAAGTGCAAGCCAAGATCGAAGCCTGGGCTGCTCAGCGGGGAAGTCCAGCTACACAAGCTGCAGCCAGGCAGTGCCTCCACAAGGCCGCCCCCAGGCAGAGGGGAGGTCCAGCCACACAAGTTCCAGCCGAGGGGCAAGGCAGCCTTGCAAGGAGTTATGGAAGTACAGCCTTCGAGGAAGTCCAAGCCAAGATCGAAGCCTGGGCTGCTTGGCAAGCCCACGCGTGGAATTGTGCCATCTACTTTGCTTCGTTTGTGGGAGGGCCTCCACAAGGCAGTTTCTCGGGCAGCGGGGAAGTCCAGCCACACAAGCTGCAGCCAAGCAGTGCCTCCACAAGGCCGCCCCCAGGCAGAGGGGAGGTCCAGCCACACAAGTTCCAGCCGAGGGGCAAGGCAGCCTTGCAAGGAGTTATGGATGTACAGCCTTCGAGGAAGTCCAAGCCAAGATCGAAGCCTGGGCTGCTTGGCAAGCCCGCGCGTGGAATTGCGCCATCTACTTTGCTTCGTTTGTGGGAGGGCCTCCACAAGGCAGTTTCTCGGGCAGCGGGGAAGTCCAGCCACACAAGCTGCAGCCAAGCAGTGCCTCCACAAGGCCGCCCCCAGGCAGCGGGGAGGTCCAGCCACACAAGTTCCAGCTGAGGGGCAAGCAGCCTAGTTATGGAAGTACAGCCTTCGAGGAAGTCCAAGCCAAGATCGAAGCCCGGGCTGCTTGGCAAGCCCACGCGTGGAATTGTGCCATCTACTTTGCTTCGTTTGTGGGAGGGCCTCCACAAGGCAGTTTCTCGGGCAGCGGGGAAGTCCAGCCACACAAGCTGCAGCCAAGCAGTGCCTCCACAAGGCCGCCCCCAGGCAGCGGGGAGGTCCAGCCACACAAGTTCCAGCCGAGGGGCAAGGCAGCCTAGTTATGGAAGTACAGCCTTCGAGGAAGTCCAAGCCAAGATCGAAGCCTGGGCTGCTTGGCAAGCCCACGCGTGGAATTGTGCCATCTACTTTGCTTCGTTTGTGGGAGGGCCTCCACAAGGCAGTTTCTCGGGCAGCGGGGAAGTCCAGCCACACAAGCTGCAGCCAAGCAGTGCCTCCACAAGGCCGCCCCCAGGCAGCGGGGAGGTCCAGCCACACAAGTTCCAGCCGAGGGGCAAGGCAGCCAAGGAGTTATGGAAGTACAGCCTTCGAGGAAGTCCAAGCCAAGATCGAAGCCTGGGCTGCTTGGCAAGCCCACGCGTGGAATTGCGCCATCTACTTTGCTTCGTTTGTGGGAGTCCACAAGGCAGTTTCTCGGGCAGCGGGGAAGTCCAGCCACACAAGCTGCAGCCAGGCAGTGCCTCCACAAGGCCGCCCCCAGGCAGCTTCCAGCCGAGGGGCAAGGCAGCCTTGCAAGGAGTTAAGCCTTCGAGGAAGTCCAAGCCAAGATCGAAGCCTGGGCTGCTTGGCAAGCCCACGCGTGGAATTGTGCCATCTACTTTGCTTCGTTTGTGGGAGGGCCTCCACAAGGCAGTTTCTCGGGCAGCGGGGAAGTCCAGCCACACAAGCTGCAGCCAGGCAAGTCCAGCCACACAAGTTCCAGCCTAACCAGTTGTCTGCCGTTTTTGATGGTGCCTTTTTTTCTGAGCATGGCCTTAAAGCTTTTGATTTAGGCATTTATGGTTCCTGTAAAACCACACAGGCAATTAGCAGCAAAAGCTTGGCAAGGCAGCCTTGCAAGGAGTTATGGAAGTACAGCCTTCGAGGAAGTCCAAGCCAAGACGAAGCCTGGGCTGCTTGGCAAGCCCACGCGTGGAATTGTGCCATCTACTTTGCTTCGTTTGTGGGAGGGCCTCCACAAGGCAGTTTCTCGGGCAGCGGGGAAGTCCAGCCACACAAGCTGCAGCCAGGCAGTGCCTCCACAAGGCCGCCCCCAGGCAGCGGGGAGGTCCAGCCACACAAGTTCCAGCTCAAAGGCAAGGCAGCCTTGCAAGGAGTTATGGAAGTACAGCCTTCGAGGAAGTCCAAGCCAAGATCGAAGCCTGGGCTTGGCAAGCCCACGCGTGGAATTGTGCCATCTACTTTGCTTCGTTTGTGGGAGGGCCTCCACAAAGGCAGTGCCTCCACAAGGCCGCCCCCAGGCAGCGGGGAGGTCCAGCCACACAAGTTCCAGCCGAGGGGCAAGGCAGCCTTGCAATCAGTTATGGAAGTACAGCCTTCGAGGAAGTCCAAGCCAAGATCGAAGCCTGGGCTGCTTGGCAAGCCCACGCGTGGAATTGTGCCATCTACTTTGCTTCGTTTGGCAAGCCCACGCGTGGAATTGTGCCATCTACTTTGCTTCGTTTGTGGGAGGGCCTCCACAAGGCAGTTTCTCGGGCAGCGGGGAAGTCCAGCCACACAAGCTGCAGCCAGGCAGTGCCTCCACAAGGCCGCCCCCAGGCAGCGGGGAGGTCCAGCCACACAAGTTCCAGCCGAGGGGCAAGGCAGCCTTAGCAAGGAGTTATGGAAGTACAGCCTTCGAGGAAGTCCAAGCCAAGATCGAAGCCTGGGCTGCTTGGCAAGCCCACGCGTGGAATTGTGCCATCTACTTTGCTTCGTTTGTGGGAGGGCCTCCGCCAGGCAGCCTTGCAGGCAGTTGAGCTTCGTTCGTGCTCCGTGAACTTGTCACAGAATCGGCTCGGGGAAGAGTCTCACCATAGTTGCAGCTCTCAGGGTCCCAGGAAGCCCGGGAGGAGGATAAGCTGTTTGCGGTTCTTAAGCAATGTGTAACGCGGAGTTCGCTTTAGCAATGCCTCCTTGTAGAATCCAAATGGAAAAAGACAAGCTATCGATACTCAGAAATGTCGATACTCAGGAATCGCGTAACTAACACTTCGAAGCCGCAGCTTCCTTTTGGGCACCACTGTCCTTTCCAAACGTTTCTAAGTATTTGGTCGGCTGATGTCGGCTGAAAATATGCATCAGTAGGTCTGAATTGTTATGATGGAAATGGAGTGAGTCGTAATCAAAAAGTTTGAAATGAAATGAGCCTTTAAAAAAGTCCGAACACATATGCGTGATGTTTGCAGTTTAATTAACGCTCTTGCTCCGGCTGGCCCGGAAACGGGAGACCCATGTACAGGCCCGAACAAGCCTCGCAGTCCCCCCCGACGCCTTCCACCCCACTCCTCGCCGCTCCACTCCGCTCCGCTCCACTCCACTCCACTCCACTCCACTCCCACGCCAGTCCACTCCACTCCACGCCACGCCACTCCACTCCACTCCACTCCACGCCACACCACTCCACTCCCACTTCACTCCGATCCACTCACAGAAGGGGTTGGCGGACATGTTTGCAAAGTAGATGGCACAATGTTTTTGACCCCCTGGATATTCCCTGATTTTTTGAGCCAGTAGATGGCACAATTCGCCGGATAATTGAAGATATGTGCCAACTGTGAATTGGCATTTTTATATCACCCCGTGCCATCTACTTAAAAATATACGTCGTAAATGTGCCATCTATTCTCCGGGTAGTGTAAACCTGCTTCAAAGAGAAAACCAATATGTACCAAGGATCTGGGGTTACCAAAGTGATTTTAGTAGACAACACGTTTGGACCGGTTGAGATTCACCGCTGAAAAGGCAGCAAGAGCTGACTAGCCCTTCCCCCAGAAAAAAGAAGAAGAGAAGCAACACAAACTGCAACTCCCTGAAAACAAACGATGAGTTTCAGCCAATTCACTCATCAAGATGCAATTAGTCCTTCAACCACAAAAGACAAACAAAAACATGCTTGAACAAAACAGACTAGCCTTCCCCCAGAAAAGAAAGGGGAACAATACATGGAGTAGAAAATAACTACAACTCCCCAAAAAACAACAAACCACCCAGTTGCCCAGTGGGTTGCTTCCTTGTTCTCCTGTTTTTTTGGCGAAGGGCGTCCCTTTAAAACTCAACCCTTCCCAAAAAAAAGATGCCGATACTTTTTTCTCCCATGGAAATCCACTGAGCGTTTTGCCCCAACGGAGCGCATGGCCTCCCGAGCTCCACGGCGCCCGGCGGCTTTGCTGTGAGGCGCGCAGGCGTCCGAGGAGTGCCTGGCAGCTGAAGGGCTCAGGCGCTGGGGGGAGGGGATGGCGCTTGGGCGTGAGTGGTGGTGGTGGTGGGGGGTGGGGGCTGGGGGGGGGGGGGGGGGCTAGTGGTGGGGGGTGGTGCTTTTTGTTGGGTTCCTTGCGTTTTAAAATGTCCCCCTTGATTTTGTTAGAAGAGAGATGGTTGGAATTTGGTTGGGAAGGGGGTGGTTGGAAATCTCAAGTGCAAACGACAAGGGTACAGTTTGTTTTTTTCTCCCCTGTGGCCACAGGTCTAGCCTTTCCAAGGAAGTTAGACGGGTGAGATAAGGGAGCCAACAAGGCACCAGCACTCGGAGTTTGGAAGGTGTGGACAATCGGTTTCTTTTGGTTGCCATTTCTGTGGGCCCTTGAGAATCTTCTAGGCGATCAAGTAGTGGGCACGGCCTACTGGAAGCTTGGCACAGCCGAGTAGGCCAAGCCGTGAGCCCTTACTTTTGCACTCGCAGTTGAGTGGGAGGATTGCATTGGTGGGCGCGTGCATGTGTCCCTATAATTCTCACGCAACAAACAGGGAGAACCCAAACTGGTGATTGTCCTTGTGGTTTTGCTTGAAACCAACCTGAAAACGGACCTGCAACAAAGAATGCATATCCACATGTAACACAAGAACCGCCTGAAAAGATTATCCTCCCACCTCTACTAGTAGCACCAGCGAGGCTTGTTCATCCCATGAGCCTTGCAACCACCAAGCCTCAAATGGCACCCCCTAGATCTTAACTGATGAGTTCATGCACCTGCAACGAGTGATGGACTACAAACAAAAAAGAGCAGGGCAGCATGGAACTGTCGGGCATCTTGCTTTTGGTTGCGCAGGGGTTGTCAAAGGCGAGGTACGGTGGATTGCACACATGCCCTGTGGCACACTAGGTTGTTGCAATGTTGAGATTCAATGCTTATGGCTGGCTGAGCAGTCAAGTAAGTTCTACGAAGCTTCAGAAAGGTGCCTTTATGCATTTTCCCCAACTTGGAACCAATGATGACTTCTTTGTTTGCCTCCATCGACCAGGCTCCAGCATGCTTTTCCGAGGTTGTTCCTCGATTTTACAGGGTGAATTCCTCATGTTGATTCAACCGTTCTGTTCACAGACCTGCCCTTTCCTGGGTGTTTGGCGGCTTTCTGGAAGGAAGCATCCCTTGAAAGAATTGCTTTCACGGACACCCAAAATATTGCAAGTTAGGGAACAAGGAAACAACTTTTTGATTTACATGAGTTTACCCTCACTGACCGTGTGTGCTTTGATTGCGTATGGTGGGTTTGCGTGGAAGATCGCGGGGGCTTCCTCCCTATCACTGGGCACCAGGTTGTTGCTGGATGCGCTTTGGACGCATTGCGTCCCACCAGTAGAGGTGCGATGGGGTGGGCGGATGGCATCCAACTGGCTGGAAAGTTGCAAACCGCCCTGTCCGCAGCAACAACTGCTGTTTGTCTACCGCAGATGTGAGCCAAGTATTTTCACCAAACATGCAAACACAACCATGAAAAGAGTCCCGATTCTCATGGGTTGCTGGATGCAACTGGGTATTTGTCTCTTGACCAGCTGTTAAAAGCAGGCTCAGAGCTCCGCAGGCACGCGCACCAACGATGTCTTTCTTTTTGCGAACCTGCGAGCAGACATACGCCGGTGAAATCTGCCCCGATTGTTCAGATCTCACGAACTGTGAGCCGTTTACAGGGCTCTCAATGACTCAAGCCCTTCCCAGCATTTCCCAGCCTGCGCAGATGAAGTGTCCCCACTGTACTGAGACCAAATTTGACATCTCAAGCAATTTGTGTCGGGGGCGTCCAACCCATGCTTACTCAATGGCCAATCTGACCTCTGACGTCAGAACATGACCCGCCCAGGGCACCATGTCGCGAGCCAATTGTAGCTGGGCTGCAACAGTTTGCCATGGCCGAGAGGCTCTTTGCCTCTTTCAGGGAAAGCAAAGCACAAGCTCCCTACTTAGGGATTTGCAGGCACGACATGCTTGGCGGGAAGGTCTCTTAGGGGCTCCCTGTATGTTCCTTGCTTGGTTTTGGGCATTACCATTTGGGACGAAATCAAGTGAGTTTCCTCCAAGCATGGTGTTAGGGAAGAATACGTCAAAGATTTGCTATAGCGCCTTTGCAGCCTGAGAGATTGTGATGCCTTTCCCACACTTCCAGCAGAGCATCATGGTTCTCCTTTCAATCAGACCCCCCCCCCCCCCCCCCGGCATTTTGCATGTGTGCACGATTTTGAGCCAGCTGCGCTTGTCGTTGGATTTGCGGGTTTCTTGCGCTCCCATTCTTCGGCAGGCGCAATGGGTCGCAACATGTCCCATGGTGTTTCGGGTTTCGGCTGGTTTGTGCCCACAACTCAGCCGGGCGTGTTGCCATTTCACGGCTTGACTTCTGAGAGAAGCAGGAACTGGGGAAGGGGACGGGGGATGACCCACAAGACAGGAACTGCCCCCAGCCGCTCCCAGCTTGCTCGTTTCATCTCGGTTTGACTACTTTCACTAACGATTGCCAAATGGCAGATCTCAAATGGCGTGGAAAAACGGAAAGGTGCGTTCCACTGCCCGCACCCCTTTGGGTTGCAGATGCACCACGTTGACGTTGTCCGCTAGAAGTCTCATTTGATTTCCCCCTTTGCTTCCCAATTTCCAGTGGCCTCGAAATGAGCAAACCGCACACCGCCCCGTTGAAGGGGAGCCGTTGGTTTTCTCCCACGCCACCACAGGAGTTGAATGGGATATACAGCCACTCTACCACAGTTTGTACCTTGGCTCAGTGGTTCGGGGAGAAAGTGGGTCCCGCATCTCTCCCCGAGATGTGCTGGCCAACCGCGGGAGCATGGAATCGGTGGACGAAGGACGGCCCCCGCCCCCAGGGCCTGGGAGGTGCCGTTGTCTCGTGAGCCCAAGAGAGCGAAATGGCATCGAACAATGACAGCCCCAAGCGAAACTCGTCGGCGCTTCTTTGGGATTCATGAATTTGAGGCAAGGAATTTGAGGATCTATTGGGCATTGAAGTGATTTTGCGCGACTTGTTTCTTTTTCAACTAGGGAGTGAGTTACAAGACATCCAAAAGGGAGAAATGGGCCAAGCCGAACAGCATGCCACACCCTCCCGGTCATTTTGTTGAGGCTACCCTTCGTGAGTTTGCATTCACAGGGAAGCTAAGGTTCTACCATGTACCGGAGGAAGCCACGTGAACCTAGCGGCAGTCGCCCCAGGGAAACAGTTTGAGAACTTTGGTGGCGGTTCGAGCGTTTTGTTGTGTTCTAAAGAGCCCAGATCGGTCAATTTCCCAAGAAAGGACGCCACAAGGGGATGGGTACCATTTGGGTGAATAGGGAAACAGAGCCATTCTCCATGGGAAGTTGTTGAAACAACCCGGCTTGTTTCACCAATTGGAGTTGCAGACCGACGCAACAGTCAACAGTGCCACAAGTGTAATTACAGACGCGCAGGGATCCCTGATTCCCTGCGCGCAAAACTAATGTTGACCCCGGATTAACAAAACTAAACTCGTCCCACTAATAAGGGTTGTTCCCCTCCAATAGCGATGACTCCCCGCTAAGTCGGGGACACCCTGCTAGGGACTGAGGTTGATGTATCCGGGGTTAACATTTCTCGTGTCATCACCTTTGGTCCCAACCTGCTTCGAGTACCGCGGGAATGGATCGAGAGGACCACAACGTGCAGGTTCCACCCTGGCGCAAGGCCTGGCACAGACACCGCTGATTTGTCGACTTCAGTCGTATTAATTTCGAAGCAAACGGGCGCTTTTCCGGTTTCCGAGGTGTCTGAACCTTTCAAAAGCCAGCAACATAATAAGTTCCTGGGTTTGTGACGGTTTGTGTGCTTGTCACTCGGAAGGATTCTTAGAGCTTTGGGATCATGCCGGGTTGATGTATGTTGATGTCGTTTGATTTTTAGAGCGCTGAATTGAACGCAGTGTTTAAGTTGGCTTTGATCCCCCCGAGTTTGTGTTGGATGCTCCGCACCAAGCTCACGTGCATAATGCTGGGTGTGTTGTTTGTCCGTTGTTGGTGGGGAGCGGCTCAGCTAATGGAGGTTTGTAGTCTCTTCGCAAGACTTCAGTCCCCACGGACATGTCAACCACCGTAGCTACACGAAACTCGTCGGTGCTTCTGTTCGAGGCAGTGGTAGTGATATCTGGTTCTGTTCCAAGTGGGCATTGGTTACTCCAAGCGGGCACTGAAGTGATTCTGCACGACTTGTTTCTTTTGCATCTGGGGAGTGCAAAAGGGAGAAGTGGAAGGTCCTCCAGCCCCAGCGTTCTACAAGCGTGACACACGTGGAGGGAATTGGGCCAAGCCGAACAGCGTGCCCACCCTCCCGCAGACAAGCATGGGGCCCGGTCATTTTGTTGAAAGTTGCATTTAAAGGGAAGCTGGGGTTCTACCATTGGGATTTGGGTTCATGTTTCGCTTGAGACGAAGCCGCATGAACCGAAACGAAGTCGCCCAAGGGAAACAGTTTGAGTACTTTGGTGGCGTTCCGAACGCTTCTTTGTCCACTAAGCAGCCCTGATAGGTCAAATTTGCAAAAAAGGACGCCACACGCGGATGGGTAGCATTTGGGTGTTTTTTCCAGACCCTCGACGTAGCACGCAGTTTGTTGGACACTGCCCAGCAGAAGCGCGCCAATGGAGCAGCAGAGCCATTCTTCATGGGAAGCTGTTGACACAAACTCGGCTTGTACCAATTGGTATTGCAAGCAGACGCCACTGTCAACCGTGCCACAAGTGTGCTCTTGATATACATGGGATTGCCACGCAGCGACCCCTGATTTTTCCCGCAAAACGGGAGGGACCTAATGTTGACCCCAGATCAATAAGCCTATGCTACTAATAGAGGGTGCTCTCCTCCAACAGTGATTAATCCCCGCTAAACCAGGGACATCCCCCTATAAAAAAAGCAAAGCAAAACAGGGGTTGGATAATCCTGGTCAACATTATTCAAAATAAGTGCATTTCTCACGTCCTCACCTCGAATCCCCGGAGTAGTCCGGTCGGGAATGGATCGACAGGAGGACCACAGCGTGCAGGTTCCACCCTCGCGCAAGGCCGGGCCTGTTGTCCACTCTTTTGTTTTCGGGTTTGCTTGGAAAATGGTCATCTTTTCAAGCACGGATCCTCAGAAAGACTCAGAGAGCTTTGGGATCGTGATGGTTTGATGTCCTTTGATTCTTAAAGAGCTGGATTGGATGCAGTGTTGAGGTTGGCTTGGATCCTCCCCGCTCCGCACCAAGCTCATGTGCAGAATGCTGGGTGTGTCTTTTGTTCGTTGTTGGTGCGAGCGGCTCAGCTTAATGGAGGCTTGTAATCTCGTCGCAAGAATTGAGTTCCGACGGGACATGTCAACCACCGTATGTCAGCTGAGGCTAAGCTGAAACCCATCTGCTTCTTGCGGGGCCTGAGAACTTGCGGCGATGTGGGGCCTGATAACTTGCACGAGATGTCACATTCTAGGGCTGCTGTGGAAATGTCTTCAGAATGGACGAGGGAAGCATCATCTCTCCTCCCTTCCTCTCCCGTTGTTAGCGAGGAGAGGGATGAATGGGATAGACAGTAGGAATATAGAAGAATGACATCGCTCGACTCGCTTCCATTGACAGCTCTTGCAGAAAGGATTATGACTGCCAATTCTGTGGGGAGCTCACCTCGGATAAAACGAGCTCAGCATTTGTGCATGAGTGCGGTGTTTGCAGGTGTGTTGGCTTGAGCTTCCTTTGTGGCTAGAAACAACGCCAATCCCAAGCGTGAAAGCAACCTAAATTATTGGACATGCTGAGACCAGACAAGTTTCCTTATCCGTGGGGTTGCGCATGTGTGCACGGTGCCATGGACATCTTACTCTACATTATGGGCCACTTTGCATGTTGAGGGCTTTTCAACGTGATGTGTTGAGAGTGGTTTCCCTTTGAACCACGATATGGGGTTAAGAGATCACTTTCCTGGACCCAGTTATTGTCCTTCTTCAGCGTATGTTTGAGAAACATCGCTATGAGTTGCCTGGGTTTCCATGGCAAGTTCCTGTGTGCAACGAGCGACTCGAAAATGGGGGAGGCCTTGTCGTTTAGTCAACCTATCACAAGTCCACTAATGTACCCTTGCAATGTGCAATTAGGCTGAGGTACACTTGGGAATGCGTCCTTGAAGAATGGGGATGAGATGGAGATGAACCCCATGAGAAAGGCGAATGAGGAAGTCAGAATGGGTTGTTGCTCGCTTACAACGGGAGGTCGGGCAGCTTCTGTAGTTCTTTGGGCAAACCGTAGCGGCGGCATGAAGGTACCTGGCCATCTCCAACAGTGGCAGTTTCAAGGGAAACCACCAGTAAATTGCAACTTTTGAAGGGGCAATCCAGTGACTCCTGTCTACGGGAGTTTTGCCTAGGCAATTGTCGATCCTTTGCTACCAAGTTGGTAGCAAAAAGGAGCGGATTCCTTTCTTGGCCGATGAGTAGCTTGCCCAGATCTGGACAGATGAAAACCAGCTCCTCGAGAATCAGATGAACCCGAACCCACCCATGAAGCTCCTAGACTTGACGTTGGGACTCTGCATAGCGTTGCCCAGACCTTTTGCTTGGTGCTTTGTTGGCACATGTCGGCCCCGCAAGGACGCCACCGTGTGTGGACCTTTTAGGAGGTGGCGAAGAAAAACATCCAAGTACCTCTGAAGGAAGCACTTTACCCTCTTTTTACTGATTTTAAACGCCATCCTAAACCAAAGAACCCTTGCCCCCCCCCCTTCCTTTTGCTTCCTTTCTTCGCCATCCTCGGGGGTTTGGGGGTGGGGACCCTTCAGCTGGGACCTTTGTGATTCCTTTGAGGTAACGGAGGTGTCCGGCGCGGATCGGTGGAGGGCCTGGCGCGCTTTTCCTGGAAGAAAGCCAACTCGGGGGGTGGAATCCCAGGCACACTGAACCAATGTTGGGGGTTCCCTTGAAGGAAATCAACTCGGGGACTCGGGGATGGTTTCTGTTGGGTCCTGTTCGACTCGGAGCTCCTTTGAGCCCCTTTCAGTCCCTTTCAGGTTCTTTCAGTCCCGTCAGCTATAGGGATACCCCCAACAGCAGATGGTACCCCCAGCGAACCCAACCACAAATCTGGGCCAAGACACAAGCACCCACTAGTTCTCCTTTAACAGGCGAGGTTGGACAGGAAGGTGCCAAACCATGAATTCTGCAAGAACTTCTATTGGAAGCCAGCCACACCTCTCTCGTGTGTTAGTTGCTTAGTTTCCTGGACAATCTCCTGGTTTCTCGGAGAGAAGCTTCCTCATATCCCTCTGGGTTCAATTGCCCTGGAAAATCACGGCGTAAAACCTATCATGGTTGCCTACTATTGTGGCAACCGGATCTTGGAACTTTGGGGATGGTTCCTTGGGGTGGTTCAAGGAACCAAAGTGGGGCATCCTCAAACCAAATAAACTCCATTCATGTGAGATGTCTAGTAAAACACCGCAGACACCACGAAGCACCTGGCTTGTCGTAAAAGGAAGCCCTCACAGATGCCGTGTCTTTGGCCATGAACTCGTGAGCTACTTGGGAGGGCAAGGTAGGGTCCCGCGTGGGAATAAGCCATTTGTGCATGTACAGTGATTGTCCGCGACTTGCATGTGTTTGTGTGTGTGTGTGCGCGTCTGAGTGTGAGTGTGTTTGTTTGTTTGTTTGTTTGTTTGTTTGTTTGCTGCTTGCTTGTTTGATTGTTTGTTTGATTGTTTGTTTGTTTGTTTGTTTGTTTGTTAGCTTGTTTACGTTGTTGTTTGTTTCTTTTGTTTCTTCACTTGTTTACATGCTGCACTCGATGTGACTGGCGTGTTTTTGTGTGTAGGCGGGCGCGCCTGCGGGGAGGAGATGGGGGGATAGCCAATGGCCATGGCGCAGATACGCGCGGGCGCGCCACAGGGGTCTTTTTATGTTCCTTTTTCTTGCTGGTGCTCAGTCGGTAGGGAATGACCGAGTCAGTGTGTTGGGAGTGAACTGGTTTCGGGGAGTCCCTGAAAGGAAACCAAATCAGGGACCATTCGATTTCTCACTCCCTGCTATGCGCCAGCAAATTTTCGGAGCTCCCAAGAAGTTGAAGAATTTGTGGGATAGTTCAGCTTTTTGTTGAGTAGTGGGAGACGCACACGCGCACACAGACACACATATAGCAGCCGAACAATATCAGGTGCTGAGTTTCGCTTTGCTCAGGGCTCATTAAAGATACATCAAACAAAAACACCTGCTGCACAAGGATTTGGATTCGACAATTCAGCTGATAGCTGGATGATTTTGTGACTGGCCCGAACTGGAATGAGTATGAGTAATATGCCTTCGAAACGCGCAAACACATGGCGTTGCGGTTGGCTGCAACGGCTAGCTGTGGCGTGTCCGGCATTTGTTGATGGCTTTGGATCTTGGGTTTGGATTGTTACCCTTCATTGGCACAGTCCGCCCATCTCCTTTCACAGTACGTAGAACGCTTTGTTGGCCTTGCCTTTGTGGCTATTTGGTAACGGATTGTTGGGCTTTAAGTTGTTTTTGGTTGAAACAGGTCGGATTTTCCATTGGACCCACACGTTTTTGCAGGGTGGTCGGCGCAGAGGTTCGGTTCTCAAGCTTGGGGGGTCAGAGACGTTTCGAGCTCACGGTACCCTCCCACAGACAAGCATGGAGCCTGACGTTCGGACGCGGGTCCTGGTTTGGACAAGTTTCTTTCAAAGGGACCCCTTGTGAGGATTCCATGTTGATTGTTGGGAGGGTATATCGTTTTTGATATTGGTGAATGGTTCTAAGTCACTTGCCCTCTGACCCAAGCCGTTTCCCCACTGTTTTCGCTGGATTTTGATTTCTTTTGGGGTTGTTTTGAAGGGAACCCGAAAGGTCAGCTTCTCTCTAATTGGTGGTTTGGATTGGTGGTTTGGTGGTTAAGCAGGGGTTTCCCCATTCACCCTCTGCAAGCACCAAAACACCAAAGGTTCAAGTCCAAATATTCACCAATCCAAATCACCAATGAGTGAAGGCTTGAATCCCCGAAAGGACGCCTTCCGCTTATTTGGGGGGGGCCCTTTCCCGGCCAACGGGAGCAAGGAGCTCGGTGTGCCGCACCTCCGTGCGGCGAAACTCCATACGCAACAGCGTAGGCCGGTCTCGAGCGAGCCGCCAGCCGCGAAAGGGATCAAAAGATGTGTGTGCATATGCCTCAAAATCGGGGGTGTACCCTCCGCCGCACCCAAAAAAGAAAACGCAAACAGTGTTTTCCTTCTGCTTCTTGTCCACACAGACCCCAAGATATGGTTGGGTAGAAAATCAGTTTCCTTTCAGAACCAAAATGCATCCTTGGAGCTAAAGGGAGTATATAACTCAGTCCTTGCAAGGGTTTCCTTTGGTTTCCCTTTACCAGGGTCCCTATGTGCCGATTGGGTCTGCGACTGGAGTTGCTCATCGTGACGCTAATGTATTTTGAGTCAAAAGGCCTCCTACCCGGCAGATTCTTATGTGAGTTTGGCCATGTTGACATCTCAGCCTCCAGCATTCTGGGCCAGAAGCCAGGGACATTGTTGGTAAAATGCGTGTTTTTATTTGACAGGGGCACAGCCAGTTGTTGTAGCTGTTGGTCAACGTCCTGTTCGACTCCGGGCCAGTGGCGGAACTGGGTACAGTGGCCGGTGGCCAACTCGAACACGGTGCGCGGCGCCGAAGACATGATCCGAAGTTATGGCTGAAGGCGAGCCGTTAGACCGTTAGACCCTCGTGCACACCAGGCCAAGAACCGCTCAAACGGGAGGATTCGCAAGCGCGGGTCAGTTTGACAAGGCTGCGATCGCGGGTTTGGAGACGGCCTTTGGATTTACACAGGAATGTACTACGCCAAAGGAATCAATCCACTGGGCTGCCTCATTCACAGGCCCAGCACAGGTGGTTCTTGGACATGTGTTTTTCTTTCAAGCGCCGCAACTGCAGACCTCGCAATTTGGGGGAATGAGCATCGCGAGGGGGGTTTTCGCCTGGGCCGCCGGCAAATTGTATCCAGCTCAGCCCCAGTGTGCCCGTCGACAATTTTTAACCTGGGGTTGTCTCGAATTGGGGGGACCTCCCAATCCGTGGAGTTCCTTTGGCTCCCGTTGTAAAATATGTTCAAAAGGGTACCGAATCAAAAAGACACACCCTTATGGAATAACCCATGTTGCTTTCCAAAGGCAGCAGGAGAGTTTGTTGCGGTTGGGATTTCGGGCCCAACTTGCTGGACAGAAAGTGATTGCCGCTTGGGAGACCAATAAAACTAGAACCACCCGACCTGGAAGCCGAGACAAGAATCCAGCTACGTTCCCCTTCCCCCGTTTCCACCGGAGTTCTTCCCAACCTCCAGCGTGGGCAGGCGACTCTCTGCCCACGAAGATCTTCAGCATGGATGCCTGAGCCTCAATTGTCCTTCGCGCCTTTCTTTACCTGCGAAGCAGGCAATGACCAGTGTTTCAGTGACCTCCTCTTGGCTTTCTTTGTGTGTGCTTTGACGTATGCCGTAGCTTTGCATTCGCTTGGGCTTTTGCACCTGGGTTCGTCTTGGCTTGATGGCGGACCCGCGTAGGTTCGTGCGCGGCCTTTGTCAATTTGCAGGTTGACCAGATTTGTCCTGCGCTTTTCCCCGATGATTGCTGGTGGATTGGTTGCGTGACGTGTTGAAAAGGTGGTCGCCAGGGTTGGCGCTCATGCCGTGCCCTCTGGTGGCCGCAGCCGTCGTGCCTAGTTTCCCTCACTTCGGATTTGGGGAGTTCTTGTAGAAGCTCGTCTAGCCTTTCCCCCCCCCCCGGACAAGAATGTGCTAAAGTCGTGACCCAGCGGGTGATACTCAGCCATTTCAGAAATCTCTTCATCGCGAGTAAGCTCGTCTTATTCCTGAGCCCCGCCACCCAAGCTGCAGCTCCAAAGGCTTGTTCGGTAGTCTTGTTTTATCCCGAGCTGGGGAAGTTCTTCTCTAGACAACATTCAAGGTGCTGTAACTGTGGATGCCGCCAATTCTTTCCCTCTTTTGGCGCTGTGTCCAAGTAGTCTCCTAGAATTGCCCGTTTTGGGGTTGATGATCCTTCCACAGGCTTCGGCCAAAGCAAGTACCTTGGCCTGAGTTCTCAAAGTTGCTTGTGGGACCTAGCTCACTTCCTGAGTTCATGGACTCAATACTTTTTGGGCAGACAATTCTGGTAAACAACAACCACGCAGGAAGTGAGGTGGTGGTTTTCCCTTTCCACTGTTGCAGGGGCAATTTCGATGCACCCAGTCCCCGTTCGCCGGGCCCAGGAGGCTCACAAGGTCACAACGGTGGAGGCTCAGGCGGTGGCCGCTGCTCGGCCTCAGTCCAAAACCGACCGGTTGACGTTTTGGTTCTCCCTGTTGGGCGAGTTTTTAGTCAAGGTCCCAAAAGGTTGCACTTTCATGTCCAGGTCCCTTGGGTCAGTGACTTGTGGAGAATGGTGGAGAACAGGGGGAGTCCAAGAGAGAGAGAGAGAGAGAGAGAGAGAGAGAGAGAGAGAGAGAGAGAGAGAGAGAGAGCGAGAGTGTCGCAGAGAGACAGGGAGCGTGAGAAAGGTGAACATTGTTCTCCAAATCTCAAATGTTCTCATTCCGGAAATCGCTTTTGAAGGGACAGTGTTCGTGATATCACGGACATCCTATTTATGGTGACAAAGTCATGGGGATGGCCGACTTTGGCATCACAGGCAGGATTCCTGCCCACAACCATGGTGGTGCCCCTGTAGCTTTTCGCTGCCCGCAACTATGGTGGTGCTGCTGGGTCTCAGTTTTTCTCCCAGGACCGATTGATGTCTGAAACATGCACTTCGCAATTGGACTAGGAGTAGCACCCGAGGGACCAGACGCTTTGTTTCCAGGGTGGGGGTTCCGTGTCTTGGGCGATGCGCGCCCTACGGGCGTGTTTTGTTTGAGGTCCGTACCCCTTTGGATTTTTTTGCTTTTTTGGGGTTCCCTTTGTTTTCTACTAGCCAGGCAAAAAATGTTTTTATGCTGGGGTCCTAAACCCAGCCAAGTGGGGATAAGTCTTTGGGGATGCGCGTCCGAAGGGGGCGCATCCGAAGGGGGCGTGCGACGAGGGAAAAGCGGCGCAAAGGAGCAGATCTTGGCGGCGCTGAAGAACTTGGCGGCCTATAGCTCGAACCTCAGCAAATGAGGGCCGTCCCTAAACCCCAGTCTTTGATTTTAATTATCGCCGAACGGGGAGAAGTAAAAGCTGCCAAAAGCTGTGCGCGCGCAAGTGCCGCGCAAGTGCGGCCCAAGGGCCCAATCCCGGGCAAAGGAATATAGGACAACCCCCAAATGGGTCCAAATGAAAAACCAGGGCTCAGGTTGAAGTCCTTGTTTCCACGTAAGCCTATTGGTTGCCGTTGTCCGATGTGGTTTGGCCGTGAAGGTCCAAAACAAGGCAACATCCTCACCAAACAGCCGGTTTGGGTGAAAGCAAGGTGGATCCAAATCTCGGCGTCAGCAGCGCTCCTGGGGTTAAAGTCATGGCAGTCCCCCCCCCCATTCAGTTGCCATTCACGCACACCCTACTGTGCATGGACGAAATCCATTTCGCACCACTTTGAAACCATGGGACATCAGTGTTTGTTGGTATTTAAAGGGTTTGGGTTGTCAAACAGTAAAGCCTTTCGCATGGCGCTGTAGAGCAGTCGCTGAGGGGTGGTCCTTTGATTGGTTCGTTCTTCCGGAAGCTGCCCCAAGGCCCCTAGAGGTTTCACGGGACATACATCATTATACTTATGTCTATATGTATATGTATATATATATATATATATATATATTTGCCCCATGTCCCCTTGCAGGTGGCTTGGGCGCGGAAACCTTCGCACTGTTCAATCCCGGCTTGGCGTCCAGGCAAGTTGGCCACAGCCCTGGCGGAGGAGCTGACCGATGGCGAGAGCTTCTACCTGACGCTGTTTTGAAACGCACATGGATGTGGGGTCCTGCCTTGGTTGTCCGGGTTCGACATGAATTTAGAGAATGGGGGGGCTTGATTGAGCCCATTTTGGGCTTGTTTTACTAAGGATGTCAAATGTGGTTCATGGGACATAGTTTGCATATCGTGGGGCAATTAAACACTTCAGAAATGGTTTTGTTGCTTCTTGCGGTGGCTCGTGCCCCAACACGCTTGTGTAGAGCATGTGATTGGTTTAGAATCAAGTTGACCCAAGGCAATCCTCAGCTTCAGTTTCATTGTTGAACTCCGGTGAAAGTTGACACGAAACGGATACCAACTCAACAAGAGACGTCCGATAGAATGGAGGCTTGCCCCTTGTGGGAAGTCAAATCTCGGCAGAACTCCTTGAATTGTCATGCACTGCTTAAATCTACTTGAAAGAGGTTCAATCACAGTCCCAGGTTGGAAAAGGAAGGTTAAGGTCCCCACCGTGGCCTTGTAGATTTGCCACCTTTGATTTACCCAGCAGGGTTTCTGACTTTGAAGTAGGCCTTGGAGTGCCAGAGTTCACATTGTTTCACTTTCGTTGGCCAGTCAACCCAACAGATCAGTGTCAAGTGCGTTGTGCCTCTGGGGTTCCATGCAAAAAACATGCAAACAAACATCGTGGAAGAGAGTGATGCTTGGGGGCCTTTGTCGCTCGGCTGGAATGTCTGAAACCTTTGAACAGGTTTGGCTTGTTGCAACCCACATGGAGAATAAGAAGTCACAGGGACCTGGAGAGGGGGTTGGTGCCCTCTGATGAATTGGCTTGCATTTTTTTGGAAGACATGCCCAACCCTGCTTTCGCAGGCGCATTGTGTCACCCCAATGATGGGGCTTCCTTGTGGCTGCGCTCGCTTGGGAACCCAAGTTGTTTTCCCACCGTGTTTGGCCATGGGACCTTTTAGAACTGCGCCTGCAAGCTTAGCAATGCTCACGCAAAAAGGATTGAACGGAGCGGCCCGTTTCCTTTTGCTTCCCCAGCCATGGTTTTTACCAACGTGGCGATGAATTCACGAGAGCAACTTCGAAATGCATAGATTGAACAACCCCTTCCCCGCCCCTTTTTGCCCCAACTCGCGACCTTGAAACGTCAGGAGATTTTCCGGTGCGAGGAGTGGGAGGATTTGCGCACTGTGGTGGAGCTGTACCCCAAGAGCATCATGGTCCAGCGCCCTCGGTGAGCAAAGCAGAGTCTTGAACCGTCGAAGCCGCCATTCCCCTGAGCTGGGCTCAGGCATTTGTGGCTCGCATCACCAGGTTCGGGGTCATGCCATTGTTTCAATGAGGAATCCATGCAATAAGGCATGAGGAGATGGGGCGGGAGGCGGGAGGGTCCAGTTGTAACACGCGTCTTTGTGTTTCGCGTCATTCGAGCCAGGTTTCCCAAAGTCTACACTTCTGTGCACCTGCACTGGCACCATCGGTGTGAGGCGCTCAAAGGCCCTGAACCCAAGGAAGAGTGGTACGAACACGTTGAGTGACAATGTGGTATGGGAGAGCGATATACTTGTGGCAAGACACGATCATGACAATGAACGAAACAGGTTTACCTCAGTTGCCCAAAGCCGACCTTTTGACCTTTTGGTTGTCCCATTTTGGTCCATTTTTAGTAAAGGTCCCAAAAGGTGGACCTTTTATTTCCAGGTCCAATGGGGGCAAGTGAGTAACACCAATCCATATCACAGGTGTGGTGTGTGCGCCACGACCTCCTGGTCGTGCTGGCATGCTCATGACGTCGTCTTATAGCACCTTCACTGTGGGTTTTTTTTAGATCGCCGTTGTTTAGATCCCCATGGCCCATGACCCTTCAGCAAGCTTCTTGCAAGTGAGCTTTCCAACATCAGATGCGTTGTCAAGATATTATCATAATGCGGACTACCAAGCTTGACAGGAAGTGGCCGCATGGTTTTGTTCCCCCCTCTCTCTGCGACGTCTCCTTTCAGGTACCAAGGTTTCGAGCTCATCGGCAAGCTTGTGAATGCCAAGCGGGAGCTGCGAGCAGCTTTTAGGTTGATAGCAGACACTCGGCCGCAGCAGCTCCCGACACAGATCCGACAATCGAACTGTTTCAGGGCTGCTTGAAAGATACATTTTGCAACCATTTGAAATCTGTGTCTTTTTCAACACCAACACAAAGGGACACCACCATTACAAGGCAATGTTCAGGTGTATAATGCAAGGATCCCTGTGTTTGCAGAGGCGCGGAGATGATCAGTTTGGCCGGGCAAATGGGTCAATGCAGGCAAACACTGCTCTGATTTGTATGACCAAACCACGAACCCCCTGATGTTTTGGTCGGTGTCGTTAGACTTATGGTTGAAGTGTGTATGGGAGCAACCCATGGTTGTTGTTTGGAAACATTTTTCATTTTTGCTTATGGCAGTTTCGTGGGAACTCCCCACTTAGCTAAAGTTTAAATGTCTGCTCCCCTTCCAACGTCAACCAAGGAATCCACGAGTCGGTTTTTCCCATCTCTAAGCTTGTGAAATGGTCGATAAAGCAGATGTAAACCAGGAACTCACCGATCGAGGACCACGTGTTGCTGATGAACCTCCACCACAAGACCACCCCGGTGGCCGACGTGGCCGAGCTTTTGCTCGAGGCCTTGAACTGAAGCGAATGCCAGTGGGCCCAGCGGTGAGCGAAGCCGAGGGGGCAGGAGGGGTTTGGTCCCTACAGCACGGCGAGAGTCCCTCAAAAAATTGGAAGGGAGGGGAGGAGGGATTGAATGGCGCCGAAGCTGGGTTTAGGCTGACCTTTTTGAGCGATTGCTTTTTTCTTATGGTAATCCATGTTCAGTCAATGCTCCAAATGGGGCCCTTTGGGGAATCTGAGTGCCGCCCAATGTTGGAACACAAATCCAACCCGATTTGGGCATGGATTTGCTTCGTAGTTAGGAGCAAACTGCATGGCTTCCCTAAGGGAACGCCACGCAGAATTTGGTGCATTGAGCCAGCCTAGCAAAGCCGGGCAAAAGCAGACCTGGTTCTGCGCAACAAATCAGGCTCTTGAGTCCGCGAATGGTACTGTAGCCCAGGAGTAGTTTAAAACGTAGGGTTTTGTCTGTTTGTTTTTGGCAAGCCTTCACTTTGTTGAGTCCGAGAGCTCAGCATTGACCAAGCTTTGGTTCATGCATGGAGGGGGATTGTTGACTCGTTTGTTGGCTGGATGGCTGGAAGCCTGGCTGGCTGGCTGGCTGGCTGGCTGGCTGGCTGGCTGGCTGGCTGGCTTGGTTGGTTGGTTGGTTGGTTGGTTGGTTGGTTGGTTGGTTGGTTGGTTGTTTGGTTTGTCTTTGCCCGTTTGGTTGGGAGAGGTCAAAGAGTTTGCCTTTAGGACGTCTAAATAGTCTAAAGGCTGTTGAATGCAATGGAGCCCTTGTGGGGCACATTGATGTACTGTCTGCGGGCTTGGGACTCTTGCTTCCTGAGGCGATGTCGACAACTCACCGCCGACAATTCCCGACAAAGACATGGTTGGTCTTGTGTTGCTTGCATGTCTACGTTAGGCATGTTGTCTGTATGCGTGCTGGAATCTAAGGCCATGCGGCTCATCCCTAGAATAGATTAGACTGTTTCATACTTTTGATGGACGAAATCCGGCACCACTTTGAAACCAAGGGAACCCATTGTTTGTTGGTACTTTTGGAGTGAGACCTTGGCAGGCTTCCGAGCGAGCGCTTTGATCCTGCAAGCAGCGTTTGAAGACATCGTTGGGGCAGTGGCTAGGACCTCTGTTGAATTGTGTTACACGTTGCTCAGGTTTACGGTACGCGGAATCAAGCCTTTTTGGGGGGTTGGGCCGGTTCAAAAGTTGAGGTTCGGCCAGCATCCTCCGCTGGAAATGGTTTGACATGTCACGCTTCAACACGCCGTCGCTGGCACGGGCTCAAGCGTTGAAATTAGATCCGTCGCCATGGAGCACTTAGACCTCCACAGGCACTCAAACGGGTGGGCGGTTTCCCCGGAGAAGGATCCAAATAGATCAAGCGAGTGGGTTTTGGGGATGTTCTGGGTTTTTTAGCGCTGTGTTGGACTTGTACCGGGCTAGGTCCAGGTGCTGCAAGGGGCATACCAACCTAAATCATGACGCATTGCGTCAGTTTGTGCAGCAGTGCGCGCAGTCAATGTGGAGTGTGTTCTTTCTGCAGCCTTCCGAGTGCCGCATTGATTGAGCGACACTCGGCTGGGCACGGGTCTTGCAAAATTGCCTTCCAGGCTTAGGTTCCCTTCTTTCCGGGTGTACGGGAAGGCAAACCTTTGTAGATAACCTGGATTGTGGCAGAATCCGCAAACTTCGGGAAGAGGTCACCTCTAGAGGTGTCCCGATTGCTTTCACTTTTTAGTTAGAGCTGAGTGAGAGCAAACTGAGAGTAAGGAGAGGATACAGCTAAACTCATTGGCCTCTCTTTTCATAAACTGACTCCCCGAATTTGGTGGACGTTACTTTTTGAGAAGGCTTAGGTGTCAAACAAGTTGGGCAAGCCACAGTGGGTGGCACTTGGTATTGAGTGCGGGTTAGTCAATCGACATGGCAATCCACCAAGGGGCTGAACATATTGCCCCCCCATGGCATAAGGTCCCTCCATGGGCGATTTGTTGAGTTTATGTTGGCCTCTTAAGTTTCATGGGTAGCTAGCGGGCCTCCAGCGGAGTCTAAACATGGCACTAGGTTCATACTGTGGATGGACAACATCCTGCACCACCACTGGGATGATTCGATTTCCTTGTTTTCAGCCATGGTTTCTTAGGTGGTGCGAAGGGATTTCGTCCATCCACAGTATGTTCTCACAGAAGCCAGCGCGCCCTGCACTGGACCTGGCACATCCTAGGCCTTTGGTGTCTTCCCAAAGCCAATTTCGGCGGGGAACCTTACTTGACTGGCAAGCAGATAGCACCTTGTTGGCTCCCAGCCGCCCCCTTAGCCTGCTAGCTTTTTAGGGTTTAGTGGTAGTTTCCATGTAACCCACTAAAAGTTTAACTTTAAGCAGGGGATCTGAGGGCAGCCCAGGAACATGATGGAACAAGGTGCTTCCCTTGCCTCTGAATGTCAGCACCGACTACTGCACGCTTTCCCCAGGCAAGTCCTGGAATTCTTTCACGCCCACCCGCAACCGAAATCAGCTTTGCTCTAGTTGGCGGTTTGGTTTGGTGATTTGGTGGTTAAGGGCAGTATCTCAGTTTCCCGTTACAAGAAACAGGGGTAATCCAAACCACCAATTGCGAGAAACCTGACCCACAATCCAAACTCGGATAGAAGGTTAGTAAGGGACAATCCCAACCATAAATAGGTGTGGCCGCCTTCTTGATTCTTTACATGCTTCTGGAAGTACGACCATTTTAATACCGGTGACTCACCTGACGAGAGTAACATCTTTTCCCTTGGACTGGTTTCGGCCCCGCACGAGGCTCGCCCAGGAGCCTGGAGAGGGATTTGCTTCGTGCGGGGAGTTGTCTCACTCGGGGCATAACGAGCTCATCATGGTAAAGGTTATATTTTCTTGGGGATCCCTTACTTCAGGTTTTGGAAAATCAACTGTGCTACTTTTTATGCTTCCAAGACCTTTAACCCTCAACTGAAGGTTCAATTGCGTGCTTGTTTCTTCCAGCAAAACTTGAAATCTTTGCTGGGGAAAGAAGCCATACAGGCACAGAGGCCACGGAGGCGCTCTGTTGTAGAAGTGGCGGGCACTTGCCAGGCCTGCAACTGCCTGCAATTAGCGGCACCCGGTGTGAAGTTTATTAGGGGGTAACCTCAAGCATGACACACATCCCCATTGAATTAAATGATGTCCACCACAGGGTTCCAAATGAACATGCCCATTTGTTTTCCAGTTGTTGCCAGGTGGTGCCCATATGGCTTAGCGTTTGGTTAAGTCTGGCCTTAAGCAAAGATGTGTGCCAGTGCGGTTGATTGCAGCTGGAGGCCACGACCGTGGGTGGCCTCACGTGAGCAGGGTCCAAACGTTTCACACTTCAAAGGGAATAGAACGGCGTTCATTTGCTTAAGGATAGTTTTCATTTTCATCATTCTTTGCTCGTTTGAAGGTCCTGTTTGGATGCCCCTTCCAATCACGCCTTGATTCGTGGCTTGGATTGGTGGTTGGGAAAATTGAACCCCAGTTCCGAATCCGAAGTGGAAAGGTACCTACAAGCCAAAAACCTCCAAAACACCCCGTGTCCCCAGGACACGCATTTGGGCTCCAAATATCACCTTGGGCTTATTTGGAGGTCCTTGTGAAACAGGGTGGTGTTTGGGGGGGGTCATTGTGAAACAGGGTGGTTTACAGGGTGGTTTCTGGCCGTATCCTCGGAACCCCCCCCTGAAAAAAAGTATATCAAACAAACCTTGTGAAGCAATATCAAAGAAGAGGTGTTTGGGTGTATCCTAGAAAACCCCCGGCCAGGTTGGTTTTTTGGGCTGTACCCTCCCTAGGACCCGCCCAAAGAAAACGGAAAGAAGCCCCAGGAGCCCAAGCTGGTGACGGCGAGCATCGGCAGCCTGGCGCGGAAGCGGCACTTCCAGACCGTCTTGGACTTGCCGCAGCCCCAGCGACCGGAAGGTGTCGAGCGGGGTTAGGCATCCGGTTCCTTAGGCTTCTGGCTTGGCTGGTTTAGTGGCAGTTTTCTTTTTTTGTTGTTCTTTTTTTTCTGGGTTTTAGCTGTTTTCGTAGGTTTTAGAGGGTTTTAGCCGGCTTAGTGGCAGTCCACTACCATCTCCTTGAGTTTACAGGTTTTTAGCTGGTTTAGTGGCAATCTCCACTAAACTGCTGGGGGGGGGTTGAGGTTTCCTAACCATAGGAGTTTTCACATGGTTGCCCATGGGGTGCTCTGAAGTCGGGGGGTTTCCTAAAATGGAGTTGGGTTGTTTGCCTTTTGCACTTGAAAACCAACGAGGGAATTTTCAAAGGCACACAAGGCTCCCATTCGATTCGGGATGAAACGAGCGAAATGCATTTGTTCTTGTATTCCCCTTTGTGGCCACCTGAAATGTCCAGGCGTGTTTGTGATTTCTCCGCTTCATGTTGGAACATGCCTGGTAAGGTTTCAAAAGGAGCTGCGGACTGTTGCCGTGACGGGAAGCTTGGGGCAAGACAGGGCCAGGGCTCCTGTAACAAGCAGTAAAGAAACGATAGACAAAAAGTGGAATGGTGGGCAGGGTTCTGATCAAATGACAGCATTACTCTTTAATATGAATGTGTGATTTTCCCCGGCACGGGAACCAAAGAGGCGGGTGTATTTCCAAGTGTTCCCAGATCCCCAACTAGCCATTGAACACCCAAAAGGGACTTCTACCGAGCATGGACGACCTGCTTTAATGGTTTTTGCCGACCCTCTATTTGGGATTGTCCTTTTACGACCACCACAGGAAATCGCCATTTGGCAGGTTCCATGCTTCAATCACAAAGGGAAACCGAAAGCAAACGAATTCCATTGGGGAGGTTCCATGTTGGTAAAGGGAAGCCATATCCGGAACATGCTAAAATCCATTCTGAGGAGGTTCCAGGCTTCAAAAGACATTTTTTCAACCCCCGGAGAGCCATTCCCACCTTGACAGCCAGGTTGAGAGAGCTCCCGAGCTGCCGAGGCTGCTTGGCAGCGAGAGACCCTTCGGGCG